GGTCCAACTTTAAAAGTTATAGACTTGAAGGTGTACAAAAGAAACATAAACAGTTACATACGCCTCCCCTCCCGCGTCCACGTCGGATTTTGGCGCGAACGCTGACCTGTCGATTACACACGTCAGCTCCCACGTAAGCATTCGCGCCAAAAAGAAAACCCTATTACTTTGCCATCGCTCTCTATCGTTCCCATCTTTCACTCGTTTCCTCACAACACACACACCCCATCTGACGAAATGGATTCCGCCGGAGCTTCTTCCTCGCCGTTTGAATCGTTCAAATCAAAGAAAGTCCTTCGCTCCTCCGTCAGCAAACAGCATTCTGCCGATGAAGCTTGTGGAACACCAGATCAGAGTCCGTGGAGCTCCAAAACTCCTGAAAAGCCCACACATCCGCCTCGAAGATCTCTCACCCGCGGCCAACCATTGCGCTCACTGCGTCAAGTCAAGGAAGCGGCCAAGCAGCTCCGAAAATCAGATCTGAAGTCTTCTGTTCCCTTTGACCCGTTAGAATCCTCCGATATCCCAAGTGAAACCCCAATCACGAAACCCAAAACCCCCAAAGCCCTTCCAGAAAGGTACATGTCATTTTCCCCATTTTGAATAGTATTTCTTCTATTTCAACTAAATGCTGATGAATCGAGTATTACCCTTGTTTAGGTTCGAAATATTGGATAAATTCTTTAATAGCTTGCAATCGTCAATAAGAATTCTTCACTTGAAAGGATCTGCGTCGACGTTTACAAACATTAGCCGTGCGGTTGAGAGTTTAACAGACAGGTATATGAATCTAATCGCTCAAATCGTCTATATGGTATGATGGGATTGTGGGCGAGTTTACTAATTTGTTTTTCTGGCGTATTTGATTGTACAGGAGGTTCACCCATCGTCATCTTGCTCAGCTCAAGTTTATTCTGCCTGAGGGGATCGAGATAAAGAAGATTCTTCTTCGCGATGACCAAACTAGTTGCATGAAGCCAGATCTTGATGTGACTTTGAACTTCAGCATTGTGCAGGATGATGAAAAGCTCAAATCAGAGAACAAGAATATACAGATGAAGAAATTGTTTCGATCCCGGCTTGTGAGCTTCCATAAATCAAATCCCGAGGTATTGATTTATTGACTCGCTTGATATTAAATTATTTTTTTGCTTATGTATCAAAGTTTACGAGTTGATGTGATTAATAATGCTTCTTTTTAATTAGGGAGATGAAGTTCCAGAGGAGATGTTACCCGAGCCATTCAATCAATCGAACTGTGTGACATCTTCAAATGCCATGAAAAAACCCAATTTGAGCTCAGTTAAGGTTAAGGATACCGTTTCCCAACAGCAACAGAAGACAGTGGTAGCATCTCATATGCCTCAATCTTTCAAGAGATGCTTCTCAAAGCAAGTTTCTGACCATAGTTCCACCAAAATAGCTTGTGTACCCATTGCTCCATCCCCCATTAAAATGTGTTCAAAGCTACCTGAAACTCCACTCAAGAGCTTTTCAAAGAAGGGAGATGATGGAACTCCAGCCAAGCTTATTTCGACTCCAATGAGTGCTACACCAGCACAAGCAGCTTATCGGCCCGTAAGGAGTATTATGACCCCTGATGATGATGGATATTCAGTCATGTCTCCTACCAAATCAACGCCTACCAAATTAACAAGGCGCTCAGGTGGTAGAAGATCAATAACGTTTGACACTCCTGTGAAGAACAAAACGCCTCCTATCAAAAGGGCATCTGATGATGATGATGATGATGATGATATTCTTTCAGGGGACCTCTTTGCATCGGTATGTTTAATCAATTTATGTTTTTCTTGCTTTGGACATTGTCTGAATGCTTTTTTTTTTTGTGTTTGATGAATTGAATAATAACTTTGTTGATATATCTCTTTTCAGATTAAAGAGAAGGAACGAAAAGCAAAGGAGGAGAATGATCCAGCAATCTCACATGCTAAATGGAGGAAACAAATGATTGCAGGGTTACCCAAGCTTTTTGACTCTCTTTTGTTCATCTTTCAAAAACGCTCAGTCATCACAAAACAGGAGCTCATACACACAATTATCTCATGCCGTTTGGAAATTGTTGATAGAAGTAAGTCTTGATTCATGATCATGATCATGGTATACATATATATACATTTCTATCTATCATGAAAGCCCAAATCTAATTCTAATTTTACCTACAGGAGAAGTTGAAGAACAACTCATGTTGTTGCAAGAACTAGCTCCTGAATGGATTCATCAGAAAATGGCATCAAGTGGTGATCTTCTCTTCTGGTAAAACCCAACAAAATATAATAATAGTATTCAATTTCATTTGTTTCCCTTCAAATCATTCATAGAGTTAACTTTTTCCTTCAAATGCAGTGTTAACAAGATATCAAGCCCAGAGTCAATTCGCACAAGATTATCAGAAGCTATCTAAGTGGATGCTTGTTAATTAGATTGTAAATATTTTCACCCTTTTATTTTTAATTAAAGATTTTGCTAAAAGATTTTTAGGTCAATCAGTTATCCTCTTAGTACCTTGTTTAACATCATAGAGATAGTATCTGGTTGTATGCTGCTTGATATTAATTAATATATGGAATAAAAAAGAAGCATTAACTTTTGTCAATATATGGTTTCATTGTTCTAAGATTCTTGAAGTCGTCGTCATTTCCTTGTCCCTTTCTTGTAAGACTCTTTCCTTCTTATATCAGTAGAGAGAATTACCAGAAACCAGTTATTATTATTATTGGATCTTTAAAGATGATGCAAAGAGAGATGTTAGAATTTAGGACACCACAACACCCATCATTAGGCACCAACAACTGGGGTGGTGCATCTCCTATGTTAGCTAGAGACATACCCAAAGAATCATTGGAACAAAAGTACCTCAGATTCAACAGCATCAGGACACACGATGAAATCTTTCCTCCTGTGTTCATCCACTTGCCTCAAAACCCTAAACCAAGCAGGAAGGGACCCTTGTTAAAGCTGATATGGCCAGATAAAAAGTCAACCATGAAGAAGAAGAAAAGATGGTTGCCTAAGCTTGACCCAAAGAGAAGATGGCCTCAAGGTTGGTGATACAAATCCAATTCTGTAATTTTTTTTTTTTTTTTTTTTTTTTTCCAATTTCAATAAGTTGTGTAAAACAAAACAAAACAAAACAATTTGATTTTATTATTAATTAAATAATAAAAAGAAACGAGTTACAATCCCGTTGCTACAGAGAGCTTGAAGAAAGGAAGAGATGAGGTACCATCCAGTCCTTTTTCTTTGTAGTAAGCCATATATTCTTTATGGCTGGTTTCACGGTATATAGGTGGGCCCGTTTCTTGTAGAAGCTTCTTTATGGGCCCATACGGCTTATAGTTATTAGCAATGCTTGGATAGAAAAAACAGGCGGCGGATATTCTCGGCCCGATTCGTGCGGCCCGTACTCTGTGTTGAACGCTTTTGAATTTATCATTTGTGATGAGTTGCATGAGATCTCCGATGTTGAGTATGAGTGCCCCTTTGATTGGTTCCACATCTACCCATTGGTTTTTTTGGAGAACCTGGAGACCACCGATAGTGTCCTGAAGGAGAATGGTGAGGAAAGATGGGTCTGAGTGTTTAGTGGCTCCTAGAGTTAGGTTTGGCTCAGGGCATGAGGGGTAGTAATGACAGACGAGAGTTATGGTTTTCATACACTCGATGCGTGTTAGGTAGTCTGTCTCAAGGCCCAAAGCCTCTGATAGGAGCTCCGCTACTGTGTTTTTTAGCTTCATCATCTCTTCCATGTACTTCTTTATTGCTCCGCTGTAAGACCGGTTTAAAATCATTAATTACTGTCAAAATTCAGTAAAAAACTGTAATTTGGTATGTTATGTTGAAATCACTATTTATTAATGTATGATACTTTTATATATGCCATGCCATGCCATGATTTATGTACAAGAATTTGTTTCATTATGGTGCTGACAAAAAAGTTGTTCATTGGTCTCGATCTGCATCTTGTTTCAGTGTCTTATTGTCTTTTTAGGACCAAAAAGTTCAATTCTTGTCCTTTTTTTTTTTTTATTAATCGTTTTTAATAAAGTTATTTAGTAGTAATGACAAAATTATAAATAAAATCTCCAAGAAAGTATTTTGAACTTTTTATCCAATTTGTACCCTATGTTACATTTCTCATTTTTTGGAATTAGAGGCACAAAAGACCAATGCCCGTATGATTTTGTCAATTTCTAAATGATCTTGTGTCTACTTTTTAATAAAAATGATCTTCTGTCAAAATTTTGTAATTGTTAAATATTTTTTATTTAAGAGAATATAATTTTAATCATTTCTATAATGAAATTGTATAATCATTTAGTAATTCGTAATACTAACTCAAAACAAACTCCAATCGAAAATAACATTTCATATACAAACATAACTAGAAGATTTTGATCATAAATTCTTTAAATTTTTTATTCTTCAATTGTGAAAGGTGGCCTAAAATCATTTCAAGAACATGTTTTCAATTCATCCAAATGTTCAAATGCATGTTTGAGATAATTTTCATTTTTTAAAATTATAAGTTACAATTATGTTTTATTTTATTGGATTTTAGGATTTCGATCCCGATCTTACAAACATAAAAATTATTATATGAAAGGATCCTGATCTTGACAACCTTGATTTGGGATAACCTATACTTTTGATTTTTAACTGTTTTTTTTTTTCAAGTTTTTATAAATCATAGGTTCCATCCATTAAAAAAAACAAACGATGCTGATTACCCAAACCGTGAATACATTCGTATTATTTACTCTAACTAAAACATATGTTATTTTAAAGTTTTTTTAGAGAATAACCGTCCAATTTTTTGTCACACTCATCATTGTCATTAACAATGATCATGGAAACTGGTGTAAGCTTTTACTCGTATTTCAGCCTAGTTTTATACCGATTTCAATCTGTAATGCTTTAATTAGGAACCAAACCGGTTCTAATTAAGAGCCGATTTCAGTCCGGTTACATATGAATTTAAAATATAATTGTTTAAGGAGTGATTGGTATGTTTTGAGACACGTTTTTGTGAGTTGACTATTTTAGTTTTGAACTGTTTGGATCATAAGTGTTAGAAAAATACCTGAAAGCGTGTGGCAATGCATTAGGATCAAGTACGCCATCAGCATAGTGACAAGATATGGAGTCTCTCCAGTTTACTGCTTTTGAGACATAAAGATCTCCATTTGAATAATACTTCACTTTTTGGTCATGCTCACGTGAGTACCACTCCATCTTCACCTCCGGTGGTTGCTCATGAAACCTTCGGATACCTTCTATCATCTCTTCCATAACACCACTCCCTATCCCATGGTTGACCATCTGCAAAATCCCCCAATTCGCCGCTGCTTCCTTTATCTCACCAACAATTTCACCTCGTTTTCCACCTTCTTCGACTCTTTCAAAATCTATCACCGGAACTTTAAGATTCATATCACATAATGTCCCCAGAGACACATTCTCCGGTGGGTGGACGAAAATCTCCGGGATTTTCAGCACACCTGAGTCTAACACTCCTTTCACTCCAGCTTTTGTTTCGTCAAAGTCAACTTTCGCTCTATAGAAATCCTTCCCATCTACTCCCATGGTGGCCATGGTGCTATGAGAGAGAGAGAGAGAGAGAGAGAGAGAGGGGAAGGGTATTAAGTGGGAAAGATGACACCAAGGCCATAATTATGACCACCTGCAACGTCAAATAGTATCTGGAAAACTGATCTTCATGCAAAAAAGGCCCCACTTTCTTGGCTTTGCAAGGCTGATTTTGGATTCATCTCCCACGCATGCAAACGCAATCTTTTTGGCAGGATTCTGAGAGTAAGAGGTGATGCGGTGATGGTGATGGTGATTTATTTGGATTACAGCAAATTAACAAAACCATAATAGCTTAAACTAATCAACCCCAATTAATTATTTATGGATACCAACAACAAAAGAAACAAAATTGATCTTACTAACAAGGACAAGTGTGATTGCAAACAAATATTGTTTGGTTTGAAAAGACTAGCACTAGAAACATATCATTTACCGAATCATTTCATTTTGGCCTCACTGAACACAACATGACGATTCACACGGAGATCGATCGATCATACTTTTGGAATTCTAATTTGGTCTGTATCTTCCTTTGGATTCTTCTTCATGTACAAAAAACCAATCTTATCAATGAATACTGTTGCACTCTTCTTCTTCTTCTTCTTCTTCTTCTCTCCCATTCTGAAATCACGCTATGGGAGCCTCTCAGCTTTCATTAGCTTACATTCCAACGAAATGAAATTGGGCTCTCAAATTACATCCCCAGTACAATTCAGAGACGTACATCGATTACATTTCTCAACCAAATCATATAAGTTATTCATACATACAAAAAATTACATTAGGAAACGAGACATTAAAGATCTGAAGTTTTTATATACTGACTAGATACAAATTTACCGTTTCCTGCGGGACCGGCAGCATCGTCAGGTAGGCGATCTGATATTTGGCTCAACCTCTGTCCGGATCTGTCTGCGTAAACATAAAAGGTTATTTCATCCAATGGTCCCTGAACTATATGCTAACATTCACTCAAATCCCTCAGGCCTAACTGATAATTATATCTATAGGGAAAATGTCATGTTTTAGTTAGGGGTGTAAACGAGTTGAACTGAACCTAAATATACCCAAGCTCGGTTCGAGCTTGTTTATATTCATTTGGGCTCGGGCTCGAGCAGGGATGGATGTAGAAATACACAGTAGGTGTTGCCGCGGTTGAAGAGGTGTTGCCGGTGCATGAAAAATAGACAAAAAACCAAAAAAAATCGAAATGTTTTTCATTGCGTACAGAAAAACTAGGTGTTGCCGGTGCCACACCGTGACACCAAGTAAAACCGTCCATGGGCTTGAGCTCGAGCTTGGCTCGTTTGGAGCCTAGTTTAAAAGCTCGTGGGAAAAATAACATACTTGAGCTCGACTCGGCTCGGGGTTGTTTTGTTTATTATGCAAGCCTAAACAAGCCTAGGCTCGACTCGAGCTCGTGTATGGTTTTCGAGCTCGTTTAATTGTTTATCATAGATTCAAATGAATAATCCAACATCAGAACATGCATTCATACAATCTATATTTCCACCGCTTTAATGTCTATAAAATATAACCAAACACAAGAACATAAAGAGTAAAAGTTAAAATTACAAAAACAGTAGTTAAACTCTCAAATTATAAAGCGACTTGAAATAAACAAATCTTCTTCGATGCAACTTCACTACTCGATACAAAACATTAGATGGCTAGATGTTTTGCGTGTGAAGGTATGCTCTTAAAACTGAATTGGAAAAAAAAGTGAATAGGTTGATTAAAAGATATTAAGAAAGCTTATTACTTTGTTAGTAAAATGTAATATATAAACTATAAAGTAAAAAAATAAGTTTATATTATAATATATACAGGTTCGTTTAGGCTCGCAAGCCTAATCGAACTCGGTAACAGAAACTCATGCTTGAGCTCGTTTAATAAATGAGCCCTATGTTGAGCTCGAGCTTAGCTCGTGCTCGTTTAACTCGAGTTCTGGTCGAGTTTATAATGAGTCGATTTCGAGTAGTTTACAAGTAGCTCGGCTCACTTATACCCCTAATATTAGCCCAACAAATTTGCCATTTTTGTTTTAAAAGGTCACTCAATTATCGTTTTTTTTTTTTTTTTTTTTTTTTTTTTTTTTTTTTTTTTTTTAAATAAGAGAATGAAGTTGATTTTTTTCATATTAAAAATACCACTGCCCTCCATTTGAAGGGATTATTCGGTAATGTCATGCCTAGTCAACATATTTGACTTTTGACTACCATTAAACTTCAAAGTTTATCATCAAAGTTTGGCCATGGATTTGAAAAACACACATCTCTTCATTGGTAACATAATCATACTGTGATAATAGTTCAAGACACCTTTGCTTCAATAAACTCTCCAAGTCTTCCCCAAACTTGCTTTCCTTAATCTCCTCAAACAAAATTAGGGCTCTTAACATATAAGGTACTATTAAATCTTCAATTTTCCAATCCTATCGAATATGCTCGTTGTTTATGTTGATTTTCTAGATTTATAATATACATTAATTATTGATATTGATCAACGATCATGTGTTCGATATCAATAGTGTAACATCCTGTTCCAGATTTTTTTGTGATTTAAGGCCCGTGGACCTTAATCCGAGTATGAGAAGGTTTTGAGGCTTTGAAGGAGAAAGATTTAGACCCTTTTGGGATGTGGGTGAGGTAGGTTGTGTGATAAAAGAGTTCGGTTTGTGCTTTAGAGCCCAAATCTATTGTTAAAGGCGTTGGTCCGGGCTCTTCATGAATTTTAGATCTGAGTTGGAGTGGGCTTCAGGAGGAATAAATTTTATAGAAGTGTAGGGTTTCTCGTTAACTTTTTGTGGATATAAGGATCGTCAGAAACGGATTTATAACGAAGAAGTTATGGCCTTCGGAAGTTTCGTGGTTTCACGCTTAGCCGAGTATGCGGGGCGTACACAAAGTGTATGATGGGCGTACTAGTGAAGAAGGCAGTACGATGGGCGTATTTTGGAGTATGTTGGGCATACTGACTGTAACGTCCGTAAATCTGGGCTAGTCACTTTAGAGATAATAGGGGTCTTAAACAAATTTTTGACAAAAGATTATTTAGACTAAATAATCTTAACCAAGTTGTAGAATATGTCTCAAGGGTTCCGTACATATAAAGAATGCTGAAATCCGAGTTATAACGAAGAAGTTATGGCCCGTTGAAGTTTTACAGCAAAATCGGCACGGCATCGGGAAGCGTAAATAGTGAATTTACGATAGATGACTTTTTAGCCTTATTTATATATCCAAAATTGGTTCAAGATCAGCTCTGAGCATAATATCTTAATCATCTTCAAAAGGAGGAACCGAAGAAGATGGTTGTTCGGATGTCACACTAATGTTGGCATTTGGCCCCATATCTGATGTGTTGCCAGGGATGCCCAAAGTCTTAGTCTCCTATGAAACGGATTTGACAATCAAAACTTCTGGTGGAGTGGATACTCTAGATGATGTAGGAGGGGTTGAGTATGTGAAGAGAGGCAAGGATAGTGGGATGGAGATCTGAGGAAGTGAAGTTCCAACATAACTCATTCAAGGTATAGGAGGGATGTATGAAATCGGAATAGATGAGGTGAGGGTTGAGGTTGACATAGGTAATGTTGGAGGATTTCATGGAGGTGGTGGAGGTGGAGTGGTGAGATTCAGAAACGGATTTTCCATGATTTTATCAAAAATATCAGATTCTAGAACATAAGAGATTGGAGGAGAGGATACCTTCAGAATTTGTTCAACATGACCTGGTTCGGAAGTGGGAGCAGTGTCTTCATCATCGTTTCTGAAAGGGTTGTCTTCTTGAACTTATGTTACTGTTCTCTCTTCGGATTATTCTTGAATTATCGGAGAGGGAGATCTAGGTTTTGAATCCGGTTTCTTTGCCTTTGTTGGAATTTTGACGCTTTCTGAAGTAGCAGCCTTTTGCTTTCCACCCCCACCCCTCTTTGGTTTATCACCTTCATTTATGATCTTTTGTAATTCCACTGGGATGGGACGAACAACAGAAGAGGGCATTTTTCGATAAGCCCTAATAATGGCGTTGTCCAGCGGCACTTTCTCTAACTATTCGTTAGGAATTGAGCCAACAAATTCAAAGTTTCATGGATCCGACATGACGAATGTAGTCGTTTGTAGCATCGAAATTTCAGCCATTAGAGAATCTTGCATCAAAGGGACCTTCAAGTGAGTTAGGGCTCTGTTGATAACGATAGACCACAAACGAGCACACAAAATTTCCGTGTTTCGTGTGGATGAAGTGGTTCTTTGGATAAATTGGGCCCAAATTACAAACCCAAAGTCCAAGTTGATTCCATGGTATAGACCATAAATCAATGTATAGAACAGCTTGCTGACACTCAGATCTTGTAACCCTTTTTTATAAGCTTTTGAAGAAAAGGGTAAGCAACTCATTGCACATCGGCGACATGAAGGATTCTCTGAACTTTGATAACAGAGAAATATCACCATTGTACCCCATATTTAGTTTTGTTGTAAATGGAAGTAGGAAAGCTTTTGATAGATGAACCATATGAATAACATCAGCCCTTGTTAGAGCCTTCATCAATGGCGAAAATCTTAAACATTCAATCATAGGTCTGATCAAGTCATTGTTTCAAGACGCATCAAGGTCGATTATCATGTTTTGGTTAGGCTGAACATGGAGCATGATGACTGATGTAGACTGGTCAGCAAAGGAAACATTCTCTGATGAAGTGGCCATGGATGTTTTGAGAGTGATGATGAACAATAGAGAGCGAGAGAATTTTTTTCTTAGAAAATTTTGAGTGTTGTGTTTGCGGTGTAGGAGAATGAACAGTTTGAGAGACTTTTATATGGAAGATGATGAATGGAGAGAGAAACCATCGTTTCATGTTCCTATAGTGCCAAAAAATTAGCCAATAATAAAGCGCCAACTTATCAATCATGTGTCAGCGGACGTTGTAACAGACACGCTGATGTCAAGGAAATTCAAAAATCGCACCATGGTTTCAATTTTCATTTAAGGGAATAAGGGCATTTCAGAATCTACACTTTCAGAATCATTTATCTATCCTCCAACTTTGTTGAAGCGAGAACAATATCCATCGGAATTACGACC